AAAAAAAAGAAAATAATAATATCCAGACAACAGCAAAGTTCTGTTGCTGTTGTGGTACTTGGCACCATTTTTTCTATTAGTCTCTTAATCATCATCTGGAAAGAGAACATTCTAGAGTAATATAATTAAATGTCTAGCTAGAATTTATTAACACTATTGTATTTTCCTTGTACTTAACTTTGGTTACCCTTTCTTTACAGCAAATAATACTGGTTTTCCATTTATAGAAGCAATATAGATTTGTCTTAAAATCCCCAGTACCAGGATCGAACTCAGATGCACACTGAGGCCATACTCTTAAGTGAAATAGGCACACATATGTGAATACCAAATATTCTCTGGTATGAAAAACTGAAAGTGTAAATGAAGATCAAAATGTATAATAGATATTGTGAAAAGGTAGAAAGGGGAAGGGAAGTAGGAGGGATAGGGGAAAGTAAAGAAGGAGAAGAAAATATATGGGAAAAGCAAAAAACAGAAACAAAGTCTTTGTAAATAGGGAGGAGTGGAGGGGTTGAAAGGAGGGCAGGGGAATGGGGAAAAAATAAGAACCAAGATATAACATGTAAAGGTACAAATTCCCAATGATGAGTATCATCAGATTGTATTCCTAAAATGTACCAATGAACTTAATGAATTAAAAAAGTTGTTAATGTTTAAGAGTGAATAGGGCCGGGGATTTAGCTCAGTGGTTCTGCCGCCTGCCTTGCAAGCACAAAAAACCCGAGTTTGATCCCTGGTACCAAAAAAAAAAAAAAAAAAAAAAAAAGAGTGAACAGATCTAAAGAAAATTCCCAAACAATAAAATGGTATGAAGAAATATTTTTTAAAAGCCATTAAGACCTGAACTGACCTGAGTTTTAGAACATTTAAGACATATTAGGCATTTAAGTTCCCTTTCAGCTCTAAAGATTGGAAGTACCTAAGATCCATATGGCTTCTACAGAGATAGAGAGGCTTCCCTTTACCCTTCAGAAGAATACTATTAACTACCAAATGGGAATACATACAAAACTGGGAACAACTGGACAAGAAGTCAGACACTTGAATCCTGGTTTACTATAAACCAGTGGTGGTGAGCCTATGGTATGCATGCCGCATCAGGCTGTTTGTATCACTGAAAGCTCTTAAAAGGTTAGCCATCACTGCTATAAGATTATTCTAGAGCTTCAAGCAAGAAATCCCAGGGATCTATCTTCTTCAGTGAGACAAACTATGATGTATACTGATTTATATTCTGCCTCCCTTTTTATACTTCACCCTGGATTATAATCAGACCAGTCTACTCAAAGTTCACTAGTGGGAAGACGATGATCTCAAATTGTAAAATCCAATAGCCTTTTTTTTTTAGGACAGGGTCTCACTATTACAGTCCAGGCTGGCCTCAAACTCACAGTGATCCTCCTGCCTCAGCCTCCCAAGGGCTGAGATTACAGGTGTGCGCCACTGTGCCTGGCTTCTAGACTCTTTGTAAGCCTAGCATATTAGATTTCTTGAACTGTCCCACCTTCACAGGACCCTTGTGCCCTCAAAAATCAACTTCTGTGGAACACACACACACTCCTTGAAAAGCCCTTCACCTTTAGACTTCCTAATAATTTAGTCTCTCTTGATGTACACATATATACATACTCATTCACTAGGTTTTCATGCAACAAATATTTACTAAGTACCCATTATTGGAGGCAGGACTGCCGCTCCAAATAACATGTCCTCCCCTTTGTGGGGTTGTTTGGGCCTGGTTGGCTGCAACCCCAACACCCATTACATGTCAAGCACAGAGTTAAACACAGTGGATACAGTGGCAAAAAGACAAGCTTTAAACAAACTGTGCACATCAAACAAATATTAGCAACTTTGATTAAATTCTGGAGAGAAATACAAAGGCTATGAGAGAACTAAAAAGGGTGGTAATCAAGTCTGAGAAAGGTGTTCAAGAGAAGGCTGTCTTATTACAACTTCAGCTAAGGCCTATAGGAAGTAGGTAGGCCTGGAGAAGAGGTAAACAGCATGTGCAAAATCTTTGTGAAGAAGAGAAAGAACTGGCAAAAGCAATAAGGAGTACTGAAAGATGAGGAAGGAAAAAATACACTAGAGTGTAAAGGGCTCCCATTTGCCACAAATGTGACGAGGAACATCAAAAAGAGTAACGCATTAACTGAAATACATATTATTAAAGCTCATACATTCAAAGGACAATTTTTTTTAAAAGTAGAGATTAAGGGCCAGGGATTTAGCTCAGTGGCACCATGCCAGCCTCGGAAGTGCAAGGTCCTGAGTTTGTTCCCTGGTACCACAAAATAAAAAGTAGAAATTAAAACTTAAAAACTGGGCTGGGGATTTAGCTCAGTGCTTCCGCCACCTGCCTTGCAAGCATAAGGACCTGAGTTCGATCCCCGGTACCTAAATAAATAAAAACTGTTGATACAGAGCCATGTTTTTGTAATGTCTAGATTAGTGATGGTGAATCTTTGAGAGCTTTGCCACAGGTTCACCACCACTGATCTAGATACTTGGGAGGCTGAGGCAGAAGGATTCTACCCAAACTGTGCAACTTAACTAGACTTGTCTTAAAATTTTAAGAAGGGGTAGGTTTGTAGCTCAGTGATTATTTTCCTAGCATGTTCAAGACCCTGGGTTCAACTCCTAATACTGCCAAAAAATAAAAATTTAGAATTCAATTCCTTGGACAACACTGGAAATAATGAAGCCACCAATTCATTAGTCAAAAAATTGCCAATTAGAATTCATCCTGCTTTTCCTATATAAATTGTGTCCCAGGGTAATCAAGTAGGTTTCAGGATTGAAGAAAAAGTTTCTTTTACAAACACATTTCAGTGTAGAAGGAAGAAATTACAAATTACCATTTTGCAATTCCTAATAAAACAAATGACTGAAGCAATGATCCTGGAATCTCATTTTTAAATAGCACCAGATTAAAAACGTCGGCTTTCCTAACAAAACTTTATACAGCTACAATTACTCATAGTTGGAAAGACTATTTCAAGAAACAAAAACAAGTCATTTTTACCTTCCTTACTACCTGGAGGATTACAAAAAAGATGAATAGCTACAATATTAGAAATAATTCTATTATTTTCTTCATCCTATTGGTTAAGCAATCCTTGAAACTATTCTACTTAAACTAGCCCCTTAATTAAGTTACCAAAGAAAAAATGAAATAAAAGTGATTTTAAGAGGTTGCAAACTGTAAAGCAGAAAGACCATTACACAGAAAGTCAAGGAAGTTGGATTTTTATGTTCCTATACTTACTGTAGTAAATTAATCTGTTCAGGATAACCCTGGCACCAAGTGCCACACCCATAAGCCATCAGAGTAACTCCAGGCCTGTGTCAAAAGGTTTTGGGAGCTAATATAAGGGGACTGCAATGGCCAAAGATTAATGAAAATGACTACATCAATAAGAATGACAATGGATTAAAAAGTATCAATTTAAATGCTTGCCTCCCTGACATTAAAAAAAAAAAGTTGGAGCTAGATTTAGTGGCACACAACTATAATTCCAATACTTTAGAAGACCAAGGCAGGAATATCCTAAATTTGAGCCTAGCCTGGGAAACTTAATGAGACCCGTTCTTAAAATTAAGAAAGTGTTGGGATATAGCTCAGTGCAAAGTTCCTGGGTTCAATCCCTACACTACAAATTAATTAATTAATTATAATTTTAAAATAGTCCCCTTTCAGAATGCAAGGGAATCAATTCTTTATTCTAAAAACTAAAGAAAGAATTAACTAAACTAAAGGGAATCAGTCAAATATAGTGGTACCTTGGTACACAAATACTTTTGTTTGTAAACAATTTGGTTTGCAAACAGAAGCATTTGGCAAAATGTTGTTTCTGTTTGTAAATTCTGCAATGAGTGACAAACAGAAACTGGGCCATCTTTCTCACACAAGCCATTTTTTCCAAAATCATAGAATTACTTCATGAACCAAAGTAGGGCTTTTCATCACAGAGACAGTCCAACAAATAGAAGAGGAATCAAAATGAATAGCATTATTTTTTAACCCTTAATAAATCCAGGTAATGATCACCAGTAGACATATCTTTTCATAAAGAACACTCTACCAGTGAAATAGTCTTGAAAACAAGAAACTAAAGTGTATCAATATAAACAAACCCCTAAAACTGCCACAAACTATTAAGAAATATAGAAGATAAAAGAATAAGTCAAAGTATACCACAAGAATGAAAATGATAAATGCTATTTTTTTCAACAAACTGAAAAATTAAAAAGAGAAAAGGGGAACCTACAATACTAATTACAGATGAGTGACAAAACTATTAAGAATAGTAAGGAAATGACCATGAAAGACAAGGCTGCAGTTCCTCTGCTAGGGAAGTGACTATAAGGGGCTAGCCAGGGTACATTCTCATGATGTGCTCACCTTATATATAATTCAATGAGTTGTACTTGTGTGCACTTTCCTCTATTTGTGTTATTTTTAACAAAAATATTTTAATGGAATGATTCTAAACATAGGGGCCATACAATCCTAATATGCTAACAGTCTTCTCCTTAGTGGCTGTCATTACAAACATAAAAAATAGCTTTTGGAATCCTTCCAAATATGTTTAGAATCCTTTAAAACAAAGAAAACAGATTCACTAATGTTAGCTATTGTTGCTATGGGTTTATATTTGAAGACGAAAACCTTATACTCACTAGATTGTTGCTGTTGCTGCTGCTGTGTATTAAATCCTCCAAATCCCAGTCCAGTTCCCAAACCAGTACCTAAACCAGTACTAGTTCCCGTTGTGCCAAAACTGGTACCAAATCCAAAACCTTTGTTCTGAGTACTAGCAAACAGTCCTTTGAATGGAAAGTTGGAATTATGTCAGTTAAAAAAATTTGACCTTTACCAGATTTACTTGTACAAATGACCTAAAATATAGCTTCTTACCAGTAGCGCCTGTGTTAGTCGGGGCAGAAAAGCTGAATGCAGAACTTGCAGTTGTAGATGTTGTCCCAAATCCTCCAAACCCACCTAAAAAGAGTAAAAACAGAAAGGAAGATTATTTCATTTACATAAAAACAATTTATTTTTGAAGTCATTTTATAATTGCTATATATAAAATCAAAATATATTGATCTAATTTTCACTTTCAACATAAATTTTTTAAAGACTATACTAGTAAAGAGGTCAATGCAAGAAATAAAATGTCTAAGTATTTTGGAAAAATACACCTTTCAACTACAGGGGGATTAACAGCTACCACTGGCAAAATACCTTAAGGCTATTCGCATAATTCTAAAATGACAATGGATGTACTTTTAGCATATGGATTCAAATTCAAATGCCTACAAGATTTAGACCAAGAAAATCTAACAGTAAAGTAGGTATTTACTGACAGAACTGTTTAAAGTCAAGTTTTTAAAAATGGCAGTAACTGGTCAGGATTTAGCTCAGTGGTTCGGGTGCCTGCCTCGCAAGCTCAAGGACCTGAGATCAATCCCAGTAGCACCACCAAAAAAAAAAAAAATTCCTTAATTCCAGCAAATTACTGCTACAGAAGAATGGTAGTTCACATACTGTATTTCCATTTCCCTCCATAAGAAATCTGGATTTTTTCCATGTTAAATTTATAGGGTTTTTTATTGTTGTTTGTGGGGTTGTTTTGCAGCGCTGGGATTGAACTGATGGTCTCACATATGCTAGGCAGGCCAAGTATTCTACCACTGAGCTACATTCTCAGTATAAATTTATAGGTTTTACTTATTTATTTGGTACCAGGGACTGAACTCGGGAACTTGAGCTTGCAAGGCAGGTGGCGGAACCACCAAGCTAAATCCCCGGACCTATAGGTTTTTAAACATTAGTTTAACTTGTCTTTTGTAACTAATTCAAATATTTTTAAAATAGTGTGACAAGCAAATGTCAGCAGACTGTGTTGCCATTGTAATTCTGACCAGTGAATTTATATCTACATTAGCTTTATTTCTAATTAAGTCTGTGTCAAGACTAAGCAACCTTTCAAAAGAAAGGTACCAATATACTTACCTCTATTCAACAAGAATGTGTTTCTTTAAGGAAGATAAAAAGAGAAAATAATAGTAGTGGTAGGGAAGGTGAGCAGAGCTACCAGAGGCCTCTGCAACGCAGTATGAGGACTAACAAATTTCCTTTTTAGAAAGTCTGGAAACAAAATTAATCTTAACTATATCTAATAACATGAATGGTATGGAATGCTAGGCAATAAAATTGTTTTATTAAACTTATTGCCAATCTTTGGCTGGTTATCAATTTGTTATCAAAAGAAATTTCAAGACAAATATTTGAAATATTAATGCCAAATTATATTTCAGGTTTTCTGAACTCTTAACTTTAGTGACATAACAGATTCATCACTGTAACATGAAAGATGTAAAACAAAAAAATCCTCAACCATTTGATTGTTCTGACTTGGAAAATTATTCAGAATAGACTGCATGTTGTATATGCAGACACAAGTAAGTAGTCTATTAACTTACAGGTTTTACTGCAGTACTGCAAACTAAATATCCTGATAAAAACCACCAAAAATATTAAGTATTTATTTTAATCTCATTACTCATTTCCACAGAATAACTATGATATAACCTGAACTGGCTGTGCAATAAAAACACTAGTCAGTACATTCCACAAGATCATAAATGTTTTACTAATAATAGTGGATTTGCATGGCTGCAAAAAAAACAAGCATTTCTACCTGCTCTTTGAAGTATAAGTTAATTAACATATGAAAGTAATTTAAAACATTCTATTATTACAACTCTAAACAGTGATAACTCCAAATGAATATGAAATCAAACAAATACCAACAGGTTTATTTATTACTGTTGAATTATGAGCTGGAGGACAGCTTTATTCAGAAGCACAAATTTCAAAATAAGGTTTTACCCAGTGCCAATTTTAAGCAAACAGGAAAAGTAAACATACCAAAAGATAACGATATAAACACTTCAAATATATCTTAATAATAACACATTGTTTTATCTCTGGAAATTTCAAGTGTTTTTCAACTCTCATGCTAAGTGATATTCATATTGCAAAAACAAGTAAAAGAACAAAATGCCTGACTTTCCAAATAAGTTTCAGGAAGTAAATGTTCACCATATGCATATAATTGGCATGGGCATAAGAGGCACAATGTAAAAGAATATGGATGATAAATTCATATACGAGCAGCTGAAAAAAAATATTCTATAGGGTCATTGTAAACTACATGCAAACCTATTTTAAATTTGGATATCCATAATTGTTTGCATTTTGCAAAATTTTTAATGAGCTTCAAACAATCCACATAGATTTTTAATCCTCACAAGTATCTTTTTCAATGCAAAGCTACTCAGCCTACCTTTTACAGCAATGTTATCTGACAAATTAAACTGCTCTTTGATAATTTCCAAAAAAATCCAACGAAGAACTATATGCTATAATTACATTTTACAGAATGTATCCTAATCTGGTGAGTTCACTAAAGAAATATACTATTATACAGCTTAAAAAGTAAGACAGATTATTGCTGTTCGTATAAGACTTGTTTCTCTTAGAAACACAAAGACAATGAGATCCTGATGAAAAATGCAGGAAAAAATGAAAAGTGCAGGAGTCCAAGAATCCCAGGAAAAGGGGCCTGACTAGTAAGCTTATACTCTGGAAGATATATCTAATAATTTGAAATATACATTATTTATAAAGTAGAATCCAGTTAAAATTCTTATCATTTGGAAGATATTCTGTTCAATTAAATGCAAATTTAATAAGGGAACATTATAACTTGCAAGAATTTCCAAAACTTTTATCTTTTAAGACAGTCAAAACTTAATACAAATGCTTTTTGACATTAGGGAATAAATTTCCTTCCCTCGTTAGACAAAATCATTGTTCTTTCCCAAACTCTAGCAATCACGAAATATTCTTGGACTCCAGCTCCCAAGACTCATTACACATACGACCCGCAGTATCTACCTGCACTTGCCAGACTGTTACCAAAATTGAACGGAGTCGCCGAGGTAGTAGAAACACCGAAATTCCCAATATTAAAGTTCACTGCAGGATTAGCAGTTAATCCGAAACCCCCAAAATTAAACCCACTGGCGGTGGAGTTGGCAGTCTCAAGCCCACCAAATCCTGATAGGCGTGTAGGCAAAGAAACAAAAGTTTTAAAAGGGGGAAGGGGGAGAAGAAGAAAGAAGAGAAAAAGCAAGACAAGGATTAGAAGAATCAACAAGAGGTTTCACAGGAGGGAACAAACCTGACTTCGCTCCAAACCAGTTAAGAAAGCAGAGGAGGCAGGGACAGAAGGACGGACCAGGAGCGTGAACCAGACCACCAGGGCCCCTCCGGGGCTGGGACCAACCCGGCCGCAGGGCAGCCCCAGGCTCCCAGGCCCTGTGCTCG